CTCTTCCCTATCAATCTTGATGTTTTTTCTTCCAAACCCTTCCAAACCCCCATTTTCTTTCAAAAGATTGATTAATGCCGTATTTTCAGAGGTCTGCGCCTCCTCGCGTTGAGTTTGACTTTTGTGTGTAGCTCATCCCTCTCCCCTTTCTTCGCTTTTCAGCATCTATTTTTCTCCATAGGAGAAAGAAATGCACAAATTACTGGCATTGTCCGCGCGTATCTCTTTGACCGAGTCATGGCGTCTCTATTCATCGACCCCCTGGAAAAATGATGAATAGAGCCCCCAATGGTTAGGAGTCAGCTATCGACATGACGAAGAAGCCCCGGCTGATGAATTACCCATTCAGCTTAACCTCATTTCTCTTTCACTGACTGTTAGAGGGTCCCCTCCCGAAGCCCCCCATTGAAGTCACCCTTAAATATTTATCTAATATGACATTCATATTATAAGAGCAAGTATTGAGGGGCTTTCGGCCCATTCATCTCCGTGCATTTGACTATGTCTGTACCCTTCTCCTATACCTGTAGCCCCAAGAGGTGGGACAGGTAGTATATGTACACATATTGGTATAGGGCTTCTACCACCACCACCTGTATTCAAATGTCTGGTTTCCAGACATGTTTTGTTGTAGCCTGTCGGTTAGTGGTTAAAACCATTTGTTAACATTATCCCTGATCTCCAAAAATTCATGACTAATTTTATGATTGTAATATGCATAAATCATGCATTGAAGAGGTTTATCTGGTTGGTATTTGACTGGGAGTAAGAGCTCTTTTAACACAGTCATTACTTCATAATTACAAATTATATATTTGAACAGAAATGTGACCATAATTTGATAGCCAGTGGCTGGGGCTATAGAGAATGTGGTAGGTATTTTGTCATTATCGAAAAGTGACAATTGCTCTTCATTTTTGCACCATGAGCTGAATTCTTTTTATTTGAAACTTTTGAAGGAAAAAAAATTGCTTTACTCAAATTTTGTTTGCTCTGTTTCTCTGTTTTTTTGCATCTATTAAAAGCAAATTATTTTTGGAGTGGACTTAGCCTTTTAAGCAACAGATTGAATTACAATTTAAACAACAGGGAATATCTTTTATTGTTCAAAGATATGCAGAGCTCCAAATGAATTTTTTTTAAAATTAAATATGGGGCCCTGTTTCAAACTTTCAATTAAAAAGATTTAGAGGTCTGCAATAAGAATTTGGGGGTGTGCCAGTTTTTACTGGGCCCCTATAGCGTTGAGTCTTACATTAGGAATTAACAAATAGCTTGTATGAACATTGATAGTGTACACTCGTTACTACTCCTATACCTGCTTCACAAATTTATAGCTCCTTGGCATATTTATATATGAAATGACTTGCATAAATTTCTTGTTATACATTAAAACCTGTCTTAGCCTGCACCTCTATATAAAGGTCACTTGTCTATAATGTGTAACTATATTGCCTCCCTCTAGGAGGAAACATGTATAGAAAAACCTGTCTACAAAGGCCACCTGTGTAAAGTGACATACATGTTTTCCTTGGGTGACCTTAATAGACAGGTTGACTGTATATGAATATGGACAAGGGTATATCATTCATTTGTGAACACTATGTCTGATTTGTCATGTATTGTCCAATACTATTGATGTATTGATGCAGGTATAGTCATGTACAGAAGCTCAGGTAGTGTAGACGTCCCGTCCCTGGTAAACTCCGCTGTAATCCGTACCAGGACTGATGTATTAGCAATGGTCGCTGTCGGCTGATGACCCCGTACCAAAGGTCATTCAGCAGCACACCAGTGAGTTCATTGATCTTCAAACGTGTATAGCCCCATCATGGTTGAGTTTTGGTACAGTGCCTCTACTCCTCCTATGCATACACACAGTGCTAGCTAGTTCACAACAATACTTGCCTTCAAAATCCAATTTCTTCTACATTGTGTTGATTTGTGTATGATGTGAAGCTGTGAGTGGGCATGAACAATTGTGCAGATGTTTGTAATTCAAATCATTTCACGGTACTATACAAGTTACAATTGATTGAGCAGAAACAACTCCTTTGCAGCAAATATACCTCATCTTTTTAAAGGGAATGTTTAAACTCATCTTGGTTTTGATAAGAGCAGAAAAATGAGAAAAACAAAGTTAGTGAGCAAAAAACTGATTAAAAATAGAATTATTGTGAATTTGTTATGTTGTCACCAGTAAAACACAAATTGATAACAATGTAACTTATTTTGGGAGATCCTCTCCAATATGTAGATAATTTTATAAACTTTTACTTTCTTAGTAATTGATGACTGAATAGACTTTTTTCATACAGGGGGTATGTAAAAAGGTATTTGCAATAATTATATCTAGGGTAAATGTATAATTGAAAATGTTCTTATGAGAAAATAGAAATTTGCCAGAGGTGCCAATATTATTTTGATTGATTGCACCTTCCAGTATATTCATAACTTTCTTATCTTTAATCAGCTTTTGCTCCAACTTTCACTGATGTGTTTCTCTTATATGTCTGCTTCTATTAAAACAAACTTTCTACCATGGTGGGTTCCCCTTTAAGTTATCGAGAATATTGTCTGTTTGGAGTCAGAAGGGCTTTAACTCATAAACGTTTATACAGAATGAATGTCCTTCTGGCTCCAAACAGATGATATATATGTACCGGTAGATGTATGCCTACGTGTTTGATAACACTGTTGTGATCAACATGTACCGTACACTCATGTCAGTGAAACACTGATGTCGGTGACAAACCGGTTACGAGACTAGTACTTTACTACTGAGTCGCATCATGCCTCCTCAAAACAGAAATGCATGGAAAATTATTGCAATAGATCTGCACGTGATACAAAAATACGTAATCCACATAATCTGTCGAATATCAATAAAAGAATCTGCTTATTCCTACCAGATGAATAATCAAGTACAATTCTTGAATTATAGACAGGTATGTTGCATAGAAGTCTGTACAGGAAACCTAGCCGACTGTGAATTCCACAGAATTGGTGAAAAACACCTCCAAGAAAGGAAAGGTGTGAATATTATTTGAATACATTCCTCAATGGATCCATCTCTTTTGTTCATAGACAGATGCTCCAGTGCACCTGTCACATTCATACGTGTATTGGGGCATGTTTTTTAAACGTCATTCTAGTTCATTTCAGTGCTTTATGATTCATATTTCATGTTTGTATGATGCTGTAATCTGAAATTCAATTTATTACAAATATCTTCCTACTGTACTTTGTAATAATAGATATACCCCACCCCTCCCCTGTCTACAGGTGAGGTATATGTCTCTTGTACTTATTCTTCTGCCTCAAGAATGTTATTGTATTTTCAATAATTTCCTCTTTTTCCCTAAAATTCTTTAAATTCTTAAAATACATTATAAAATTATGCTGTATAATATTTAAAAGTAAGTATAGTGTGGTGTTTTTTTAATGCTCTTAAATATGTTGATTTCGTTCTCTATGTTGACCTGGGAATTTTAGTGCTGCTATGTATTCCATTCAAATTGTGCAAGAAGCCTTAAAATGTGTGTTATTTATAGTTCAAGAATGTTCGGCAAATTGCAAATACTTCAGACTTATCACTCGTTGTGTACTGCACAATGAGTTCGAAGGTGATGACATGGGGGTTGTAAACATCACTGCGTTGCCTAAATCTACAGATTATAACAACCATATTCAGTATTCAATCACTGCAAATTTTCAAGAAAGAAGACCTCTCGCCAATGAAGACTTCTCGCCGAAAAAGATTGTAGTTGAGAGTTAAGAGGGGATTAGGGCTCTCGCTCTCCTGCAAATTAGACCAAAGAGAGGACGATTTCGTCAAGCGGGGTATAAAGAGAGAAGAGAATTGTGGCTAATCAAGTCAAAGGAACCCAAAACACAGTTCTGTCTATTAACATTCTTCGATGGCCACCACTTTGTAGGTTTACCGCTTGAATATATGCACCCTTCTTTTCACCATCTAATTGATTCGCAGCCCTTGGAGTGCAGTAAGAAAGTGTTTAGGGAGCTATTGATAAAGGGGTCAACAGCCGTGGTATTAACCAAGATGAAAAGGGGGGTGTCAATTGATGGTTCTTGGTCCTAAAGTCCTTGACGCTTTAAACAAAAATTCTGTTACACAAGGATGAGTCTTTAATTTAAGAGGTGTCATCCAAAATAGTTTGTAAAAATCTACTTGGTGGTTGTAGCAAGTCCTATTGAAGAAATTACACTATTCTGTAGTTTGTCAATACTCTGGTGAACCGTGAAAAAAGTTCAACGATTTGCGAACAAAAGGAAGTGAAGTGTGTGGTCCAGCCAATCAATTTCTTCACTTGTGCCGAGCACTTCGTGTAGTACCACACTTTTTTTCTTTCTGTAATGGCCTAGAATATCTAAGCTCATTAGGGGATTGTGCTGGTGAAGTAATAAGGTCAAAAACATGTGTTTTCTTCCTGGTAAAAATAAGTTTAAAAACTTGGAAGATTAATCAATTAAGTATTGTGGTTGATTGACATCAATAAATCAAATGCCTAAATGAAATATGAACCGACTGATGAGAAATGATGTGGAATGAATATATTCAGTCATATTCCCCATTACGGTTGCTCAAATTTGTTTGTGTTTGTCTGAAAAATGCAATCATAAGAGTTTGTACATGTTTAAATGCCATTATATTAAGTTATTAATTTGTTTTAAAATGACTATTGACTAGTTTATGTGTTTTTCCCACTTCTTTTTCTCTGACTCTTCTCTATCCCCCTCTTTAACTCTTTTATTTCCTCTCATGCTTACTTCCTGTTTTCCCCCTTTTCTGCCTCCACCTCCCCCTTCCCCCTTCCCCCTTCTCTCTCTTTCTCTCCCTCTCATTCTCTCTCTCTCTCTCTCCCTCTCTCTCCCTCCCTCTCTCTCTCTCTCTCTCTCTCTATCCCTCTCTTTCTCTCTCTCTCTCTCTCTCTCTCTCTCTCTCTATACTTCAATATTTTACCCCATTTCCCCATCAGGAAGCTGAATTGTGTCATTTTCTTCTTATTGCTGGAAAGCCATTGAATGAACCTGTAGAGAGAGAAGGTAAGACAAATTTCCCCATTAAATTTTATACCTGACATACATAACAATAAATGTACAAAGGACATGCATATTAAGCTGTTAAGAAGTACGCTGACATGATTTTGAACCCATGATTTCCAATCCCAGCCCCTCAGCTGTATAACCACTGGTCCATGGTTAATTTGGATTTATGTATTTCATATAATATACAAGCTTTCTTCCCCAGAATTAGATTATTTGGCAGTTGATATTTAATTTTTGGTTTCATGCAGTTCAATCTTTGCTTATTGCAACCTCTAAATAGTTGTTTACCTTCCAGCAAACTATTTGATATTATGACACAGTCATTTTCCAGTTATTTATTTACTTGGTTGGGTTGTCAGTCACAAGACCACTTCTTCAGTCGTTGATCTTTGTTTTGCAACAAGCGAAAGGAGAGAGAACGGTCACCGATTTGACATTTTAACTGACACACTTGCAAGGTTCACGATGACATCATACGCAACCAGAAAATCAAACATCTCCTATTGTTGTTGGAATTCTTTGATCCTTATCTCCCCAGATCAAGACCAAGATTGTAAAGCGGTACACAGCTGGTATCTTGGTCAGTAGAGGCGTGGTCACTCACTGCCAATTTCAAATGTCTCTATTGTCCATTTGGAGCCAGAAGAACGTTAGCTCTGTGTTAAATGATATATGAGTTTATGCCGTTCTGGTTATGAGCTGATAATTTTCCTTGACTTGACATGTGATGTAAATAGTTCAAGCTTATTGTATTGCATTGTCATTCTTCCATAAATTAGAAAGCATGGTAAAGAAAAACGACAACAACAAACAAAAAGAAATCTTCTCACGTTTCATCAGTTGAGAGACAGCTCTGTGTTAAATGATATGTGAGTTAATGCCCTAATTATGGTTCTTAATAAATTAGATGATCTCTTCCCTTTCTTGACATGTTATGCTGCATTAGTGCAAGGATATTTTCAATTTGTTTCAGAATTCTTCCACAAGTAGATGAAAAGGAGGATTTTTGTTTGTTTGTACACATAACCTCTGCTAAGAGATGATGCATACGAGTAGGACGTAGGTTTCTTGCCTCTCCGTATTTTTTCGAACTTTCCTCGCTATATGCGCTGTACACGGACTATATAACTTGAAATCGACCGACGATGAACTCTCAAAGGACAAGACTCGCAAGGAGGGCTAAAGGACACCAGGAAATGCAGGAAGAAGATGTAAGTTTAGACGATTTTTACTCCTCTCCTGCCACGTCAACCGATGGGCTTGACGTGGGTCACGTGACATCACCACCGCGAAGCTTGCCCGCCGCAGCTGCTGGCGCTATGTCGGATTCTGCAAGCCGCTCGTTATCCTCTGACCCCAGCCCTGTACGCATTGCATACATAGATCGATACTTTATCAAAATGACTGAAAAATTTGAAACAATGATTACAAAAGCTGTTGACTCTCTAGTCGAAAACGTAAAGAGGGTCGAGCGAGACTTGGGGGCGGCTATCGAATTCGAGTCCCAAAGAGTGAACGAACTCCAGGAAAAGAACGCTGCACTTGAGAAGAAGATCTCCACACTCGACACGCAGATGACTTCGCTTCTCCGAGAATCGGCTGAGCAGAAAGCTGGGATTAACAAAGCCGAACGCTTCTCTCGCCGAAACAACGTGCGCCTTGTTGGAAAACCGGAAAATACAGTGGAAGATTGCATCCAGATTGTTCAGAATGTCTTGAGTGATAAATTTGGAATAACCCCCAGGATCGAGAGAGCCCACCGAGATGGTAAGCCCGATGCTGATCGTCCACGACACATCCTTTTTAAGTTCTTATCATTTCGCGACAAAGTAACCGTTATGAAGTCCACACGAGCATCTCTGGCCAACGAAAACTACTTCATGGTCGATGACCTCACTAAAGATGATCTCACAGAAAAACGAAGGCATGCTCAAGAAGTAAGTCGTCTGTATCAACAGGGGACGAAGCTAAAGTTCTCAGCGGGAAAATGGCGCCATATGAATGGAACCCCGTTCGACTTTACATCAGATGCCTAAAGGAGAAATCAAGAGAGTAAATATGCCTATTCCTCTTGAATTTTTTGCATACAATTTTCATGTACAACTGATGAACTCTATTTAATGAGTCAATCTTCTACATTTTGTTCTTTCTAGGAGACAGTGATCTCATGAACATTTTGTATATTTATGAGACAGAAGTTCTCATGATGACCCTTCCTGTACATTTTTTATATCTTCTACATTTTGTACTTTACATGAGGCAGTGATTTTCATGAACATTTTGAATATTCATGAGACAAAATCTTTCATGTAATTTTCATGTACAACAGCTGATGAACATTTTAATGAGACAATTTGCTACATTTTGTACTTTCTAGGAGACAGTGATCTCATGAACATTTTGTATATTCATGAAACAGAAGTCCTCATGATGAACCTTCCTGTACATTTTTCATATCTTCTACATTTTGTAATTTCTAGAAGACAGTGATCTCTGGAACATTTTGTATATTCATGAGACAGAATTTCTCATGTGATGATCTTTCTTGTACATTTTTCATATCTTCTACATTTTGTACTTTCTAGGAGACAGTGATCTCTGGAACATTTTGTATATTCATGAGACAGAATCTCTCATGATGATCCTTTCCTGTACATTTTTCATATCTTCTACATTTTGTACTTTACATGAGGCAGTGATTTTTATATGAACATTTTGAATATTCATGAGACAAAATTTTTCATGTAATTTTCATGTACAACTGATGAACTCCATTTAATGAGACAATTTGCTACATTTTGTACTTTCTAGGAGACAGTGATCTCATGAATATTTTGTATATTCATGAGACAGAAGTCCTCATGATGAACCTTCCTGTACATTTTTCATATCTTCCACATTTTGTACTTTCTAGAAGACATTGATCTCTGGAACATTTTGTATATTCATGAGACAGAATTTCTCATGTGATGATCTTTTTTGTACATTTTTCATATCTTCTACATTTTGTACTTTCTAGAAGACAGTGATCTCTGGAACATTTTGTATATTCATGAGACAGAATTTCTCATGATGATCCTTTCCTGTACATTTTTCATATCTTCTACATTTTGTACTTTACATGAGGCAGTGATTTTCATGAACATTTTGAATATTCATGAGACAAAATCTTTCATGTAATTTTCATGTACAACTGATGAACTCCATTTTATGAGACAATTTGCTACATTTTGTACTTTCTAGGAGACAGTGATCTCATGAACATGTTGTATACTCATGGGATAGAATTTCTCATGATGAACCTTCCTGTACATTTTTCTTATCTTTTACATTCTGTACTTCATTACAGTTCATGAGACTGTGATTTGTAGATATCATTGCATATTTTTCATGTCTTTGTGTACCAAATAGTACATCTCACATTATTTTCTACTTCAGCAATGACTTCATACTATATATGTACATTGTAATGATAATGAACGTCTAATAATGGATTCTTTCATTACAGATGATGAGACTGTGATTTGTAGATATCATTGCATATTGCATATTCTTCATTTATCCTTTCATTACAGTTCATGAGACTGTAATTTGTAGATATCATTGCATATTTTTCATGTCTCTGTGTACCAAATTGCACATCTCACATTATTTTCTACTCCAGCAATGACTACATACTATATCTGTAGATTAACTAGTCTTGAGAAGTATTGCAGTTCCTTCTTTATCTTGTTTCATTTAATGTACGCGTATACGGCGAGGATACTGTTGCTATTAATGTTTTATTGTACGGAGAGGTACCTACACCTACTCTAGCACTTTTGTGTGTTTTTCCCCTCCCTCTCTCACCTGTGTGCACACAGTACAGTCTGTGTCCACACCTGTTTATGTTTTATTTCTTTTTAGTTTTCCCCCCTTTTTCCTTCTTTGGCATGACTTTATTTCTTGAAAATTCTATCACAAACTCTTTAGCTGTCTTTCCTCAGAGTGCATGGAGTGTTTCAATATTTTGTGTCTATAATTGCCATAATTGTCATCCAACATTCTACATGTACTATAACGTATCTTTAGACAGCATGCATATCATTCAAGTAAAATCATGTACACGATATTTGTTGTCAATCCTGAATTTACATGGCGAGTAATTCAATGCCTAGCGACAACACTGTCCTATTACGTAATCAAACCTTTTATTGTCAATCATGCCACTGTAATGTTGTACATAACTCATGGAATGAGAACTTGCTCATGTGTGTAAAATGCTATTCTCACCTGTTCCCTTTTCATCACATAGACGATCTGGAATCAATTATATCAGATCGGCACGAAGATACCAATTTAAATCTCAGATTTAATCCAATTGTACTTGAAAGTGAGAGGCACAATAACAATGCAGATATCGACCCTGACAAAAATTATTTTGCAAACTACGTTACGTCCACTTCTAATTACTATGAGGTGATAGATTTTGTGAACAAATTTGCGATAACAAAAAATAATGCAACCTTTTCGAATATACATTTCAACGTTAGGAGTATTCTAAAAAAATTTGATTCCTTAAAAAATTTCTTGAGTATTTTAAATTTCCAGTTTGATGTAATTGGCATCTCGGAGACCTGGTTAAGAGACGATAGTCTCTCAATAAATATCGATGAACATACTTTTATATGTAAGAACAGAAACCATGGTCGTGGTGGGGGTGTTGGAATGTATATAGCGGACTCGCATAATTATTTCCTAAGAGATGACCTGACGCTTGATTCAGAAATATGTGACTCCATTTTTATAGAAATAATTCAAGAAAAGAGAAAGAATATTATAGTTGGTGTGGTATACAAACCCCCAAATATTCAGACCGATATTTTTTCTGAAGCACTGGACATTGTGTTCAACAAAATAACTAGCGACAAGAAAATGTGTTATGTAATGGGTGATTTTAATATCGATTTATTACAACATGATAAAAACAACTCAGTAAAAAACTTTATCGATATAGT